GATCTGGAGGATTTGGTAGTGTAGCAAATAGGTGATTTTATTTAGGAAGCAGGAATAATTTCAAAACTGTGTTTCTTCCAAACGAAGGGAGTGTTCGTGCTGACCAGGTTTTCATTTCTTCCGTAATTTGAGACACTTTATCAGAATAATTGTTTTCAACCATAATTTTTAAATCTACGTCAAAATGAATACCTAAAAGTGTAAATTCAGTGTGAGACCAGTCAAAATTCCAGTCTTTAAATAATTTTAGTCTTGATCTCTTTTTTGATCCTATCCAAGTTAGTTTTGGTTTTTTTCAATATTAAATTTTAACCCAGAGAATCTTTCAAAGAATTGTAATGTATTTAAGGCAGCATAAAGACAACTTTCGGAAACATCAGGCGCATCGTCGTATCATCAGCAAATTGTGACATAATGTCTCAATAGTGTCATTTTTTATTCCTCTTATATGCTAATTATTTTTTATCATTAATGCCAAAACTTCTACACAAACCAAAAATGCAAACCCATGTAGACCAGCCACTGCAAGATCGGTTGACAAGAATCCCTTAAACTGTCATCAGGAGATTGATTGGGACCATGCCTCTTCATTTTAACAAATGGTTGATCTTGACTGATCTTAGGGGCATAACCCAATACTGATTAAGCCATGTTAAATGTTCATGCTTTGAGTAAATTGCCCTGTTGTTTGCATCCTCACAATGCATAACCATCAGGTGCTGTTGACTGTCATTCTTCATCTCATCCATTACGATAACTTTACATGCGGTTTCAACTGATCTTCTTGTTCGTGCGTGTTTAATGTGTGCAAACATATGGGTTTACGCACACGTGACTGTAATTTATTTATACGAGGGGTGGGTGAAACCGTCTGAGTCTCACTGAAAGAAACTGGCTTCATCGATTTGGTAACCATGAATATTTCACGTATTTTTATAACGCGTATCAGTAGTGACGGTTGCAAAATGCTACTGATCAACGATGGCTGGACGAGGGGATACAGTGACAGAACATAACACTTTCATGTTGTGCACATACAGCACATATGACAAGCATCTGATAACGTGCTGGGGCTTTACAAACATGTGTGTTTGACTAGCATTGGACCTGTTCCGAAAGTCTGCAAATCACAGACCGAGACACACTGATCATTGTGGCTACAGCTCATTAAGTTCCATTCGTTGGAAGCTTGCTTTGGTCTTAATCGTGTTAAATACTCTTTGTTATGTACATGTCAATTTCATCCTCAATAACTAGTTCATGGTAAGTGAATTTTGAATAAGGATCCAAGAACATTGCTACTTCAGAGGGTGAAACACAAAACACGTTGTTTTGATCTGGAATATGTACTTAACGTCCTTGTGAAATGCAATAGAATGTATTTAGTTCGAGGTAAGTAGTTTAGGGAGCGATTGGTACAAATGTGTCAAAAAATATGTTTATTTGTAGCCTGTCAGGTTTGTACACATTCGTTCTTCAGTGTAAATGCATATTGGCAGATTTCCTAGTCATGTCGATCCTTTGTGTGTGCGTGCTTGCGTGCGTGTATGTGTGTGTGTGTGTGCCTGCCTGTGAGTCAGTAATCCACAATTCCCATCCTTCAGATGGACTTATGAGAGTGAGCGAGTGAGTATGGTTAAACAATATTCCAGCAATATCACGGCGGCGGACACTAGAAATGGGCTTCACACATTGTACCCATGTGGGTCTTCAGCGTGACGAGCGAACGCTTAAACCACTAGGCAACACCACCGCCCGGGTATATGTACGGTTGGTAAAACGAGAAGGGAGATTTCAGTTGCTTGTAATTCAGTCAGACCGACTTATCTCATTTTAGATTGATAGCCTCCCTTTTGCAAGCGCTCCAGAGGAGGAAAACAGTTTAATCTTTACAATGCACTCGTGTTTTGACACACTTCAGCGCTCAAACTGTAGTCTTGCCTAGTGTGTCAACGGGGTCGAAAACATTCCACGTTGTGACACCTGTGTAAAGCAGGCAATCACATGAACAGTTGCCTTGACACTGTTCATTTGCATGTTATTGTGCTGTTTCGAGGGAATTGGGGGGAATCAACGGAGATGGTAAAAGATGTCCATATGCGCACGTGTAATCGTTGGGACACAAAATTTACAGTTTATGTGGATGGGTATGTCGTGAGTGAGTTAGTTTATTTTACGCCGCTAATAGCAATATTCCAGCAATATCGCGGCGGGGGACACCAGAAATGGGCTCCACACATGGAACCCCTGTGAGGAAACGAACCCGTGTCTTTCGGCATGACGAGCGAACGTTTTACTCACTAGGCTACCCCACCATCCCGGGTGGGTCTGTAACGTCATGAGGTGTAATCCCTAATACTCCTAGAATGAAATGACATTTGGTCACTTGATATAACGATTGGTAATGTTGGTTGTAGAAGACGATTTAATGGGTGAGCGAGTTCGTTTGTTGTCTAATTTAACGGTGCACCAGCGAGATTTCAGCTACATGGTGGCGGCGTGTAGATAATCGAGTCAGGACTGGACAATCCAGTGATCAACAAGTTTCATGTAAACTTTATCAGGTGGATATTGAAAAGACGACAGAACTGCAAGATTACGGGGGTTAAACACGAATGTCACAAACTCAGTAACGGGTATACCCACCTTGTGCAGCGAGAACAGCAGCGCAATGTCGACACATAGGGTGCGTTGCATATCGGGAATCGCTCAGAGTTAGCAAATAAATCACATATCCCATGCTTCCAACAGCTCGAAGCGTTTCTCACTCTTCCAAAATCGCGGAGTAATTACCATTTGCTCGCCTGGCCATAATGAAGAACGTATTAGAAGAGTCTCGATGACGTGCCGATTAAATAATAATTGTTGATGACTACATTGAACCTGTGGAACAAACTGAGGATGCTTGGATGTAAGCTGCCTTTGCTTATTTCCCAGCTTATCAAGACAAACAATATTTTTGTTCAGTCGTCGAATTCAAATTTCCGTAGGTCGCCATTTTGGTTTGAGAATGAAGCAGCTTCATCCAGCGATTGGTGCGTTTGAAAGTTGCACTCCGTTGTCAGGCCAATCGCTGTACATCGCTTGCAAGCGATTGATTGTTGGCAACGCACCCTATAACTGTTCTTAGCCCAATCCTTATCAAAAACTATTGAATTCGGCAACACTCAGTAACGGGTATGTCAACTGTGAGAAGCAACAACAGTAGTACATCGTCGAATAGGTAAGGAAGGCTTGTGGAATAGCTTTCCATATTCTTTACAACCCTGCTCTGCTGGGTTTGATATATAGGAGGGCGTCCCAAAGTAGTCGGCCTCACCTAGAAAATTATACAAATGCTGCTGTTGTTATGTTATATTTTTCTACATGTTATCTCTGAACCTCAAGCAATTTTTTTTTGCCATGTATTAGCCTCACGATCCCCGTTTTGTCTGACTTTTTATCTTGGTACCCCCAAAATACGCAAAATCTGCAATAAATGCATCACAAACTTCAGGAAACAAAATATGCAAGAAACATTTTGTGTGTTTGAGACAGGCAGAAATCCTCTAGAATCAAAGGTAGATATTAAAGTGCATGAAAGTGCAATTTGAAACTACAATGGCTTGCCAAGGGTTCAAACTAAATACTGAATGGTCACGCAAGCGCCAGCACTCAATATATTGTAAACGGTGCCAGGTTGAATATCTGGACACAATGTTTTTAAAAGATTTAAGGGCTATGCCCTTTAAAAACTGCCCATCTAAATATAAATCAAGCAATCCAAATCTTTGATTGTTGATTATGACCCGAAGTCATCCAATACTATACAGAACATATTTCATATATTACCTGAGGGTATACCATTATCCAAGAGGTACAAAATGACAGACCGCTTTTCACTTTCTGCAAACCTTTAAAGAAATATTATAACTCAATGTGGTGTGATGACTAAAATCTCGTTAACCATATTACCCACATATGTGAAATTTTGCATATGGCTTTGCTAATGACACCATCAAAATGAAATCTGGAAGTTTTCTAACATTGGGCATCGAGAATATAGTTAGGCCGACTACTTTTGGAACGCCCTCGTATTTGCAATATCTAATGACACACTTTGATGTCTGACGTCGTGTTAAATAATTATGCTGATAGACTAATACACCATGTGAAACTGATTAACTGCTGAGCAGACCTGCATGATCAGCAACTGGGAAACACTTCCTTGTATTATGTGTGTACAGAGCCAAGATCGGTCGACGCAATATCCTGGACTAAAGTACATCATCCCTCTTTGTTCTGCTAAAGCTATAAATGGAAAGAAAACTCCAAAAGTAATGAATCTGTACATTACCTTAACACACTGGAGATCACGGTTACGGCGTTCTAATCTTGCCGTCTATACATGCATTGCTAGAATTAGAGGGGTCGGTCGGACGATGAGAAACACAGAAAATATAAATGCTGCCCCTACAAGTCGCAAGCTCTCCACTAATCAAATCGTTTGATCTGTGTCCATCTCAAGAGTTTCATCCCTTTGGTTTATTTTAACATCATGTCGGAGACACGACTGAAAGACAGTCGACCTTACCAGAGAAGAAACCGAACGGGTTATGTTTTTACTTGTTACAGGAATGTTTATGGAATGTTCCACCTAAGAACCCACGCTGATTAGGCTTTATCTTCTTCTTTAAGTGACTGCGATATGTAGAATGACATTAACGTTAGCGTTTCTTCTTCACTTGATGAATCCATGTTGCCATGTTGATACGTGAGAATCTCGCAAGTTGCATGCGACATAAAAGGTATACAAATAAAACGACTTTTGTTGTTACTACAAGTCGTGAGAACGCACCTTGTGTCCTGATTTTGTGTTGACGCAGGACACAGTGTACACAAGTACAGACAACTGTGCCATGCCTTTACATTGCAAAATATAACTTCGCCAGTTACATCACTCGTCGCCGTGAAAGGTATTACACAACATATAGGACATTGAGTCCAATAGAAATTGTTGAATCATTCACGTCCTATTAAAATGGCTCTGAGAGGAAAACTTGCTATCACTTGATGAGATTGTTTATTGTGTAATACGTATAAGGATTTGCTTTTCATTGGTTTGAATCTTCTACCAGTGGTTTGTTAGCAAGTACTGTCTTAAGAGGCGATCAAAGAAATCGGGTGATGAAGCGCTGGCATTTGTTTATTACCACACTCGATAATTTTCAGACCGAGTGCAGCGTTAAACAACAACCAAACAAAGAAACAAAACTCAGCAACAGTTCAACAATGTGACGGAAGTTCGTAAATTGCAGTGACCGGGCCACCAACTGAAGCACACTGACTGACGGTGTGAGCAAAGATACTGGCTGTCTAAGGTGATGCTGTTTGAAGTCCTGCTTGTGGATACCGAGGTTGTTTGTAGGAATGTTACTAATTTTTCGTGTTCACTGTCAGTGTCGTGTGCGGGTTTGCTGTTCATGTTTTTGTGCTGCTGTTGTCTCGGGTGTTGTTCACATTTTTTGTTGGCCTGCTCATGTTGTTCGCGTGTTTCCTTCTGATGTTGTTTGTGTTGCTGGTATGTAGTGCACTTAGTATTGTTTATTGGGCAATTCTTGTGATGTTCTTTGTGGACAACTGATATTGTTTCAGGACGTGTCTCTGATGTTGTTTATTGGGCTATTGGTGTTTGTGCTTGCTGGGGTTCTTGGGGAGGCATCTGCTGATGCTGAAATGAGAAATTGTTGTTGCTCTGTCCCTTATTATTTTCAAGCTATTCTTTTTCATGATGTTCACTCCAAACAATATCCGTCGTATGCTTTTGATGCAAATGTTGTTTGTGATATCGTTGCTGCGGTAGCTTGTTCCCTTCATCTGATGTTCAGTTCAAGTAACCACCTAACACCTACTTCCGTCATATATTACCTTCTCTATGGAGTATAAAATCTGGGTGAATATTTCAGAAGTGTTGTTATCAGTCATTCGTATTTAGTTGTTCTTGTTTAGTTGACAGATCATGATACTGAAGGATGCCTGAGGGTGAATGATGAACATAAGGAAATCAGGTGTCCAATTTCATTACATTACAATAAAATTTCCTAGATTAACCACACAAAATATATATAATGAGTTCATATGTATAGTCATGTCTACATGCCGATACGAACGACACACATAGTGAATGATGTAAAGTCAAATATATAAAAGAAAAAATGTAAAATATAATACAGAGCACTTTTGAAAACTAACTGCAACTCTGTATGTTTGCTTTGAGTAAACAGTCTTTGTTTTAGGTACCAGTTTAGGTATTGGGCAAGCATTTGCAAAAGAAGCAGCAAAACTGTCTTTGATTGGTCGGAACCAGAAGAATTTAGAGGAAGTGGTCAAGAACTGCAAGAAGGCAGGATGTTTGGTAAATGCAGACCAGTAGACAAATCTTGAGCTAATCAGGAAAAGCACACCTTGCCACAGTTCTGTACATTAAAGAATATCTCGGTTGTCCAAGGCGCCGCGTGTCACTTTGTCGTTGAAAGTCATGTATATCGAGCGTTCGTACGACAGCACACATAACCATTGGTGCGTACAATTTTAATCATCTCACAAAATGACAACAGAATCCTTAACTATCTTTCCTCAGTGGCAAATGGAGGAAAATCACATCATATTGAAGTAATGATTGATCAACTGTTTGTTTAATATGTTCTCATAAACGTGGGTGACATCACGCAGGATGCTTTCAGAAAGAGGTTCGGGAAAATAGACATTCTGGTGAGTATACTTCAGGTACTACAGAAGGGTTTGGAGGACATGTGCATCTATGCTTAGGTGAACAATGCCGGGATCACAGGTTTGAGTCCGATGACATCAACGACGAGAAAACGATGGCTGTAAACGTGGAGACACCTTTGTTTCTGACACAGTTAGTTGCACCATATTTAATTGAAACTAAAGTTACTTTCTGAATGAATGTATATGCATCACTGGTGTTGTACATGTACGCCTTTATTTAACTCTTTGAAAAAAATATAATAACAAAAAGCCCAGATCCAAACAAATTGTCCCATGATTTACACACGAAGACGACTGTTCACTGGACAATATGCAGGATGTCCTGGAAAAAGGTATTGTCACCACAAATTCTTCAGCTTTCCGTTGCAGAGAACAGGGGCTGGATTCACTAAACTTCTAAGAATTTTCTTAGTTTTTATGCTTAAGTTTCCTAAGAATTCTTAGCTGAGAATGTATCTTAAGTAGAAATCCATCATGCGACTAAGCAGAAATCTTAGCTAAGAAATTTAAAGTTTCATATCGTGGAGATAGAAAAAAGTTACGCAGACGACAATCAGAATGGAGAAGAAAACTACAAGGAAACCAAACTGGACGGCCGAGCAAACGCTGTTTTTAACACGCCTTGTTGAGGAAAACAAGGCTGTGTTACTTGGAAAGTTTAGTCCGGGCGTTACTTCTGCACGGAAGAAGGAAACCTGGACTGAATTTTGAATGCACTTTAAAATGTTATCACCTTGTATATGTAACTGTGATGTATTTGCCTCCTACAATAATTAATTTATAAATATATATTTACTTGTTAATAACAAGTTCAACGTTGAAAAATGTGCAAGTTGGAAAAGGGAGATGAATATGGCTTAAGCAAAAATCTTAGTATTAGATGGGTTGCTACCGGTATGGAAACTAAGAATTCTTAGTAGGCTTAAGAAAATTCTAAAAAGTTTAGTGAATCCGGTCCCAGGTGATCAACACAATTTCATCCCTAAACAAACGTTATGCTGCACGAGTACAATTGTGAGCATGATGTCGGCATGAGCAGGAACAGTTCACAACCTGTAATACTGAACATGAAATTCGCTGGTCATTTGAGTTCAGAATAGCCCGCACATATCACACACTAAGCAGAGTTAAAGCCGTATGACCAAACTGAGTGCTGTATGGAAAGAAAGTAATAGCGATAGAAGTGTCCTTTAATTTTAAGATTACAGACACTTAATCTACCTCATCTAAATGAATTGAACCTACTGCTTCTGTTATTTCCATATATCATGCAAAATACCTTTGAACATATTATCAACTTTCCCTCGTGGGCAGGTACCGAATGGAGGTATCTACACTATGTCGAAGGCGGTCGTGGACACATTTGCAAGATACCTTGCCCAAGGTTAGTGTGTGAAACCTTTTTGAAAACGTTGAATGGCCCAGTCATGCAAGCTGCTGTTAGGGTCTATGCCATTGTTATCATTGAAGAATCCAATAATTAGAAGTTACGGTGAACCAAATTACACACTCAGTTTATATAAATCTGTTGGAAGCAATGGGATTTGTCTGATTGTCATAAATGTATTGAACAGTGTAGAACGTAAGATTTGGCCTATAGAGGAAATGTCAGAGAAAGAAGTGTAATAAGCAGGAGACAACATTTCCTTCTATATATGTCAATGCAATCAAGTAAGTATAACAATAATTATTGAGGAGATGCCTATTAAGGTTAATGTCAATGGGACTAGCTATAGTTTTCTTTATATTCATTTGAATTCAGTTTATTGTGAGATACAATAAACTGAGTAAATTGCATAATGTATTCTATCACATCCGTTTTGATCTCTTATTGGTACTGGTTGGGCAGTTATCAAAAGCTTCTTTCTGAACTCAGTTCATCATGTCCAGTGCCTATAATGTTCATTAATATTTTCAGAGGTATTCATTTCACACTGTCCATTTCGGAATCAGTCAGAGATTATGTAGTATACAGGTATCTTACAACTAGACAATATTACCGCAATCACTCCATGCGTGGGCTATGGGGTAGCCTAGTGGTTAAAGCCTTCGCTCGTCTTGTTAGTAACACTTTCATATGAAACAAGGAATTGGAATTCAGTGTAACCATAGTTGTTTGTGGTGTCTCTTTTCACTTTCACACTAGAAAATTCGGATCGGCTGAAAAGTAGGTCATTGTCTGAATAGGTTCATGAGATTCATGTTTCGGTTTGGTGATAATTTTAGACAGTACGATTGTACTTCTATGATTCTGTGAACCGGATTGGATGAATTTTTCTGAAAACCTTTTTTTTGGGTCTGGTTTATCAGTGAGGCAGAGGATGGTTTGTCCATGTGGATATACGTCGTACACTGGCATCTTCTCTTTCTGCCTCTCCTTGTATCCCTTTCCTTTTCCGAATTTCCCCGGTTGTCTCGGTTCACAGAATCACAGAAGTACAATCGTACTGTCTAAAATAATCACCAAACCGAAACATGAATCTCATGAACCTATTCAGACAATGACCTACTTTTCAGCCGATCCGAATTTTCTCGTGTGAAAGTGAAAAGAGACACCACAAACAACTATGGTTACACTGAATTCCAATTCCTTGTTTCATATGAAAGAGTTACTTACAAGTTAATTTTAATTTCAAACTTTAATAACATCGCATTTCTATATTAAATGTCGAGGTGTAGGCAGCATGAAATCAACTAAGACGTCACAGACTGCCCCTGTTTGATGAGGTCGTAAAATGATTCACAAGTCATTTGGCTCACTGGTTACACCTGCTATGTGTTCTTTGCGCTTATTCAGTGTAGTTTTGTAACGCACAATGTGATTGATATAATATCAGGTCTGTACCAGACCGCCAAACGTTTCTAGCCGCAGAGCCTCGTTTTGAGATTTCCACGATTTCCAGATTTCCGTTTGTCATGTACGACAGAGCGCGTTGCACGACGTGTTTGCAAGGATTAGAAGGAGCGTAGTGTTGCAATATACAAGTGGTTAGATATATCAAATAATTTTGATTAATATCTATATATCCAGTTGAATGAATTGGTCTCAACATTCTGGACTGGTTATTGTACTAAGTTGCGAAATAGGACGGAACCCTGTCAGCAGGAAACGAGACTGTTTTGTAATCAATGTTTTGACTTGATCTCGCCAGCCATTGACTCCCGCCTCTCCCATCATGACAGGTTTATGTGACATGAACATTACATACCAAAGGAGAAACATTTAACGTTACGGTAACTCGGCTGTTACTGGAAGCCCAATAATGTTAAAAGCATC